AATAAACCTATATATATATTTATATGTATTTATAATTTGTGTGTGTGTGTGGGGGGGCAAGCATGTGTATGTGTGCATTCATTCAGGTTATGTTTGAGAAAAAAAATATGAAAGCAGAAGAGGAAGGTGGTAAGGAGGGCTATTTTGTGCATCGAGTCGGTAACTGATACCAATTTTGTCAAACTGTTGATTGCTGCATCTCTCTGGATTTTGTAAATATGGTGCTCTTATGTTTCATGTCATTAATGTGTATTGTTGATGATTTGTATGTATGTATGCACTTAATGTATTATTCGAATACATGTACATAACCATCAAGGTCTGTTATAAATTCCAGCATGAGGTATGAAAGATGTATCTGATGTGATACGTTGTATTATTGTCAGCTATATTTATCTCTTCATCTTGAATTTTTATTAATTGATTATATTCTTATTTTAATTTCAATTCTAAACATAGCTACATGCACTTTTACCATTCTTGTACAGTCACAAAAAATTTCCTTCTGAAACAATAAGGCATCATCTTATCTTATCTTATCTTATCTTAAGTTTCATGTCTTTTTCTTGTCATGAAGATGACGGTTCAAGATTTATTGTCCTCATCCCTCCCTTTATTACTTAATGATATCACGATCGTTCAATCCATTTTAATCTCTTATTTTCTCTCCCACGCTCTCCCCTCGTCATTTCCCATCTCTCCACCTCACAATTGTTTGTATTTTTTTTATTGCTCCCTCTTTTTTCATCCACCCCCTCCCAACTCTTTCTTCATTTCCGGCCACAACTCCAAATTGATTTGTGTCACGACGCGGTGGAATCAGGTGCTAGTCAGTTTTGGAGCTTACGGAGTTATTGGCATTATCATAAAGCTTGTTCAGTTGTCTTCATTATGATAAAAAAGAGACATTTATCTTAAATCTCGTAGATATTTACTATTGAAGGAGGTGGGGTACTTCGTGTCAGAGGCAAAAATTAACGAGAAAACGGCCGCCAGAATTTGTTAACTTTCAGGACCTGTAAGTCTTAGGAAACTGTAAACTTACATTTTTTCCCCTTTGATCTCCTTTTATCAGTTTAAAATAATCCCTACAGAAATGTGTTTTTATATGGGCATAGAAGGTATTGGGCCCAAAACAAAAATTCGGTAAAAAAATTGCCCAACGGATTGAAAAAATGCCGGTTTCTTAGATTTAATTATTTTGAAGAGCGCCTGATTTCACCACGATGCCGCACATTTATAAAGCCCTACCTGCCCTCCCCACAGCGTGGAAGACTACACAGACGGCTACATGCAGTCCCTGGCTATGGTGTCCCATGACGGCACCGTCTTCTGGCCTCCCATTGTCAAGTTCCAGAGCACCTGCCAAATCGACATTACTTACTTCCCCTTCGATGATCAGATCTGTAATATGAAACTTGGCTCTTGGGCTTATGATGGCTTCCAGGTAATATTCAACCTCATCTCAGAACTCGTGAAGAAGATCTAATCTTTTCTGTATAATTTCTATAGATTAAAAACGAAAGACGCAAATGGCTTTAATGGAACAAGAAAGTTGCAGCTGCTATTCTTGTTGGATTTGTAGACATAAAGAACAGTTGAAAGGGTAGGGATATAGCTACTAATGAAAAAGCAAACAGCATTACATGCTCATGTTCAGACGGTCCAGCTCTTTGTTTGCTCTGCTCTGTTGGTGCATCACTTCCTCTTATTCTTAGAGTATTCACATTATGTTGTTTAAAGTCTGAGACAATGCCGAATACGATCCATTTACTGTTGGGATGATTCATCATCTCTCTTGAACGCAGTGCTTATATTTGCATAATGTTATAATGTAATTGGCGATTGAAGGGGTAAATTTAGGAGACCGTTTCGTTCTTTTGTAGGATTCAAATATCTGAAGGAGTAATGAATAAAAAAGAAACGTCTTTTGAGAGCTTTAAAATGGTTTTTATAAACTCCAAGAAATGCTGAATTTTGTATTATAAGCCTTTTATTGCCTAAGACACAAGTCACTGACAATACATTGTTAAAGTGATTAGATGAAACAAAAACTCCCTTTCAGCTCTCATAATTAAGTCCGGAATGTGGACTGGATTACCACTAACGATAAAACCTGACGAAAGCTCTCCCATGTTTACAAATGACTGGTAGTATGGTCATGCGTATAAAATCTGCTTTCACTGGGAACTCGTCATGTTGAAACAAGATCCGGTGTTCCATCAAAAATGTTTTTCTTTCTGCACTTCTTCTTCTTTGCTTTACAATTGTGTTTGCCATCAAATAGTAATTCTACTTAATGACTGTATTATTTTCTCTCGTTCGATAAACAAAATAGTATCTCTGGTTCTGCTTTGTTGATAATCAGAGGATGATATTCATGCTTTTGCTTTGAAACCAATACATTGTTTGATTATAGCATTAGGCGGTAATTCTCCATACCCTTTCCAGATTCCCCTAAAAGAGAACAATTAGAGACAGAGAGAGAGAGAGAGAGAGAGAGAGAGAGAGATAGAGGGATGGTTGAAGCATAACAATAGGCGGTTATGGAGAAAAGAATTTGATAACAGGTTACTTTTAACTTGAAGGAGCTCATGCTCTAAGAATGTTTGAACAATGAGCCAGCGAGCACAGTAGTAGCATCTAATGTTTCACGACTGAACAAATGTATGAAAAATCAGAAACTAGCAAACAAAAAAAGCATTGGCGGAGGGAACATAATAGTTTGACTCTGTCCCTTCTGAGTTTGAAAGACATGAGTTCGATTCCCAGGGGCACCACTATATTCCTGCTGTGATGTTTCCTGACTCTCCCATGTTGACACCGATTGGTGGTGGTGTCACAGCCCGTTTCCTATACAGTATAACCTACATTATGCCTATTCAGGATGTCAAACATTGCAGTCGTTTTCAATATTCGCACCCACTCCCCCCTTTCCTCCCCCCTTTTTTCCCTTTTGTAATAAACTTAGTTAGGATTTAGTGAAGGTCGAACGTGACAAAAACTGTAAGTTAGGGAATCTTGTAATGGTCCCATAACATCTCATCTGGCTCAAAAAGAATACCTGATCATGAAAGGGGGGGGGGCAGATGTGGAATAGATAATGGTTCGTGGGTTTTTAGAAAGAAGGCTTCGCTTATGGAACAAAGCATAGAAGCTGAGTTGATATTGTATTCATCCAATAAGAATTAAGAACACAGTTTACTTTGATTGCTGTGCTGGATAGTTTCGATTTGCTACAGTTGCAAAAGCAAACAAACAAACAAACTATCTCCTTTTTCATGCTTTGAAGTGGCAACAGTTGGAAGACACAATCATATAAAGAAGTAAAGGCGATTTCGGCAATAAATGTTTCCTATCTGATAGCGCTCAGCTTTTAATCAAATAACATTAACGGGAAATGTTTGTAAAAAAACAGACCTCACATTATTATGTAAATGGGTTCCATGGGTAAGAGCAACATAGCAAACTCGAAAGTTGGGAATCAGATGCACACCTCATACAGCAGAAGGCAAACAGAGCACGGATTGCATGGGATTCTCCCAGGATGATAATGTTATCATTTAATTATGTTGCTATTTATGCAAACATTTGAATATTCTGGCTTCAGAGGTTGCCATTACAATGCTCCAACAGTAAAACATTAGAAAGGTGATAACAAAGGAAAAGAAAACCTATTTTTATCCTTGCGGAAATTAAATTTGATATTCTGAATGCTCGCTGACCTACAGCTGGATATAGCGATTTATAAGCTTATTTCAATGTTTGTGATGATCTCACATGGAGTTTTATTTTTTGGTCAACAGGTCGATGTCAATAACAGATCTGTTCCCGTAGACCTCAGCAACTACGTCAGCAACGGTAAAGTTATACACTTCTTCACGTGTTGTTTCGTACTCCTCGGTATAAGGTTGACTCCAAATAATTATTTTACCGTATCTTCTACCTTTTTGTGTACGTAGATCGGGTCTTATTTGATGTTTTTCGAAAATTTTCCATTGTATTAATGCTGTCGAAAGACTCCCCCCCCCCCTTCCAAAAAATAAAAGTGGAGCATGCTAGCAAAACATTGTTTAAACAAAGTGTCGTGTTTTTTAAACTCGATACTTTTCTCCTTTCTGAATGGGCCGATTTATGGTTAAAAAGTTAGGGAAACCAGCACGTGTTCACACAGTCACAATCTTGAAAATTGGCAGTTTGTAATACTCATAGATGAGGAGCGAACTGCGATAATATGTATCACGACAAGGTGAAATCGGGCCCTCGTCAATTTTTGGGCATATGTAGGTACTGTAAAATCTTAAAGCTTGTTCATTTGTCTATATTTCAATGAAAGAAATACCCATCTATCTTGAAAAGAAGTCAAGATAGTTGCAATTGAAGGAGGTGGGGTCTCCTAGTTTCTGGGGTAAAATTAGAGAGATAAATGGCCGCCAAAGGTTGGTGACTTCCATGGCTTGAGAATCTTTGGAATTTGAAAAATTTACTGTTTGTTCATTAACATTTTCCCCATGTAAAATCCTCACAGAAATGTGTTTTTAAATGGACATGACAGATGATGTGACCCCCCCCTCC